CTTTCGTACACAGTATTGGTACCGGTAATTACACTTTACCTAAACCAGTTCAAAGGCAAAACAACTATTTTGTGAAATGCAACATAGTTAAGCTATTCTGTTACTGGAGAAAAATCAGTTAGGGTACAATTAAGGTTCAGAAATTCGATTGTCCAGATGCAAGGGCGTAGCCAGGGGGCTCTTGGGGTACCCATTTCCCCCCCCCCCCCCTTGATAGGTCTTTAGAGCAAACAACCTACAATATTCAGGTGGCAAAAACCCCGTGACAATATCTTGGCCATAAAAGCCATTGATATGGGCCTTCATGCCACGATAATACAACTGAGCCTGCTGATACACTCGGGAGAGGAGCACTGTAAATGGTGAGTAGCCTCTGTGACCCCCCCTTTGAAATATCCTGGCTACGCCCCTGAGATGCCATCTTTAAACCAGTTCCAATAATATAATAACAACGACAGTATTAAATGTGAGATGTGAGATGTCACATGATTAAACTAGTTGATAATGATATTCCATTGTCCATATGGCAAGAAATTAATGATGAAATTAGTCCATGAAAGTTGGCCACTTAGCCCTCTCACCAACGTCAAGCCATCTTGCAATAGCTAAGGAAGAGTGATACTCTGATGGGTTTGGTCCATTAACAGAGATTCTCATAAGGACTTCAACAATCCCAACATCAAGGGTTGACCTGAAGTCACAAATAACTCTGTTCAGACTGGAGCTGCCTCTTTCACAACAAGCAGTTTGGACAGGTGTAACAAGGCAGACCTTAATGACCAGCAATAAGTTGGGGTACTGGCCTGGCATCTGAAACTTGCTCTTCCAGAAGTTGGTGTTGTTGTTGTAGTAAAGCTCTCCTCTCACTCTCTGCAAATGAACTTTGAGCTCCATCGATTCATCAAGGCAGGACCGCAAGTTGAAGTGGTCTTGGTTTAGCAGGGCTTCAAAGTGCTCTGACAGAACCTGAATAGCATCCTCGCCATAAATAAGCATCTGTTGTCGGTTGTTTATTGGCCATGCATGGTGGTCTGTTAATGTTGCTGCTCCACGAAGAATAGGATCATTGCTCAAACCATGAAATCCATCTCTTAGAAAAGCGGTAGCTTATGTTTTGTTCAAGTAATATCATAACAAAACGAAAATGCCTTCTTGTCGGTCAAATATTTCTTTCAATATGATAACATGTTCAGCTACCCGTTTACGTGCCAGAGCTAAAAGTTAAATTGGACATAAATTTGCATACGTGCCAGGTAACACAGTACGCCTAGAATGAAATTCTGAGAAAAGTGTTTGAGTTTGTCTTGCCAAAACTGAATTTCTTCTAGTCTGTGGCTAGTGGGCAACCGTTAGTGTTGAGCCCTGTCTATAATGATGTTTCTTGATGTTGAAGGCAGATTGTTTATCAGCTTTGTGCTGTACAGTATTTTAGGTATTCTGTTCAATACCACTTCATCTGCAGCACCAAGGAACTGTCAGAAATTACCAAGTTACTTTCTTCATTTTATCATTTCATTTGTTTGTTTACTGTCAACAGGCTGACCCATCAAGTCTGAAAACATTTTTATCTATACTCAAGCTTGGAGATAAAGCATTGGAAAATGTCAACCTTTCCTGTCTGGTTCCTGCAAAGGTCTCTGAAATTGAAAAGCCCAAAACTGAAATGGTGATCAAACATAGAGCAGATTATCCCCTTGGAAAGCCATTTCCAAGTAAGCTCAAAAAGTTGACTGTAAACAACTGTGGACTTGTACGGATTGAGGCACGCATTCTACAAATGAAGAGCTTGTCATGTTTGAATGTTGCTGACAATCAAGTAAGGGCAATCCCTTGCCGACTGGTCAGTTTCTCAGCATTATCCGAGCTAATTTTGGGTGGAAATCGGATCAGGGAGTTTCCACCTTTGTTGTGTTCTGGAAGCTTAGCATCATCCTTGAAGCTCTTGGATCTCAGTCAAAATGAAATCAAGCTATTGCCTGTGACATTCTGTAACTTAAAAAACCTTGTTCATTTGAAAATTGATCAGAACAAACTTCTCATGTTGCCAATAAACACTGGAAATCTTTCAAACCTGAGATTCCTGTCTACTAGCCATAACCAGCTGAGGGTCTTACCTTACAGCTTGTCCAAATTAAATCTGGATTCCATTGATGTATCTGAAAACCCATTTTTAGCTCAGGACAAGTGGCACAACATTAGTAAATTGACTGTTCCATCGGTAAAGGAATGTGCAGGAATTGCTGTAAAGAAGCACAAGTGAGTCATAAGTGATCTCAAAATTTCTTTGAGTAATTTCTTGTTTTCTATTATTGTATGGCAAGGTACAGGTAATCCTAAGGTAAATATATACAGGCATTCTGATTAGTTCTTGCTTGGTCAAGATTTTGCAATATGGACCATTTCTACAGATACGGTCATGAACATTGCTGTGCTTCGTCCTTAATGGGCCAATATTCTCTAGTACAGACCTCACTCAGTTATTACTGCTAAAGTTCACTTGGGGCTCAGAACAGAGTTGCAGGAATCTCCCAGCTATGGGGGTGGCGTTTTGTTGTTCATTGTGGGAGTGGCTGTTTACATTTGAAGCCAAAGGATATCCCAAGCAACCAGATTGTATTAACCTCTATAAACTCTCAAGATCTGATGTTTAATTCTCCCTTCTAACTGCTACAAATTTCCTAGTAAATTAGTTATAAGAATTTGATGTTAGTTAGAGATAGCAACTTCTACTTGATATGTCTGAGTATTCTCATTACCTTCTTGTTGCATAATGCTAGGACATTGTAGGGAGAAATTTTATTTCAATCACTTCAAGGAGGTAAAGGGTGAGACAGTAACTAACTCTGTGAGGAGATTGGAAGGGAGAAATAAGTCACGGGCATATTTTTGGACAGAACGGTTTTTTTTCCTTCAGAGACCGGTCACAAAAAGTGTTTTGACTTTGAAAACGTAAAATTCTCTTTTGGGAAAACTATTCTCACTATTAATCTCTCTCTTCTGGCAGGTGTGTATACTACAAAGACCTTATTCCATCCTCCCTCTGTGTGTTTCTGGACACTGCAAAACAGTGTTTTTGTGGAAATTACTGCTTCACATCATGTGTCCACCACATTACAACCATCAATATTCATCAGCTGGCTCATACAGTCGTGTCTGCTTGTCCTACACAAAGCCACATTCCAGCAGAGAGTTTTATTTGCTCTCAAAGATGTCTTCAGAGAATGCAGAGTAGCAAAAGACCTTCCTGGAGGTAGAATCCTTTGGGTCTCCATTTGTCCATACTAGTGCATGAAAAGGTAAATTTCACTTCATCCTGAAGTGTGTAAAATCATTCCAATTTATTTATAATGAGAGAGACATTCCAGTTATCACTGACAATAATATGTTACCACCAAACATGTTCTCTCTACGTCTCATTTTAATTCTACATCAGGGCTCGACACTAACATTTGAACTTACTAGCCAATTGGCTAGTGACATCTTAGATTTGATGACAATTTCAGTTTATTTACTAGCCAAACTGGGTATTAGAAATCGAAAACCACCTGACAAAACTGAATTTCTTCTAGTCTGTGGCTAGTGGGCTACTGTTAGTGTCGAGCCCTGTACATGTAAAAAAAACAAAAAACATTGTAACGCTTTCAACGCACATCATGATATTCCAAGTGAATCAGAAAAAAAATGGACTTAAGTTACAATTTTTATTGAATGTTTCATGTGCGCATAGAATAACACTTAGAGACGGTTTTTTCAATAAACTTTGCCCTGCTGGCAGAGGCTTTTATTTGTTATCTTCCCCTACGGTCCAAGGAGAAATAAAGTCCTCTGCGCTCGGCCTGTTAAATCTTCGAGTATGCGCCTGGGAATTATCCAGGTTTGTGGATAATCTGATTTGCAAAACCGGTCAGAACCTGTTTTAAACACGTTTTTATGCGCACGCATCCTATGTAGCTTTATAGCAAGACCAAGTGTGAGCCCATAATCAATTTGTTTCTAAGCAACAGGCCGCGCATGCTCGAAGAAGATTTAACATGCCGAGCGCAGAGGACTTTATTTTTACGTGGACCGTAGGGGAAGTTAACAAATAAACGCCTCTGCCAGCAGGGTAAATAAACTTTTGCCTTTTTTTAATAAACTTTTCCCGTTATTTGTCAGAACTGCGATCTAAGCCATCTTCAGTTTAAAGGTGTAAGTTTCTAAAGAATTGTGTGTCGGAGGGGGGTAGTGAATGATATAATAATAATATAATAATACCTCTATTTAGACACGATAATGTTTAAAGCTGAACAGCTTGTGGGGTCGTGTGTAAATCCAAATAAACTCTAAATTAAATAAATTCAAATGATGATGGTTCTTGAGGAGAGGGGAAAACCGGAGTGCCCGGAGAAAAACCTCTCGGAGCAGAGTAGAGAACCAACAAACTCAATCCACTTATGACGCCGGGTCCGGGAATCGAACCCGGGACACATTGGTAGAAGGCGAGCGCTCTCACCACTACGCCAACCCTGCTCCCCTGAAGATAATTTGGTTTTATCTACTGAGTTGAGAATGAAAATTTGCCGCCCTAAAGAGTTCTTAAAGCCGATTTGAAGGATAATTTTTCCTTCCAGAGTTTTGCGGCACTCTTAATCCCCACGGTATCAACGAACGCTTTTCATTCAACCGATTCATTTATTGTTTGGTTAGTGCGGATAGGCGTTAGCTATCCTCATCTGATGTGATTAAAAAAACGAATTTATTCAGAGGAAAATGAAACATCGCTCGCTAGATAATGATAGTTCTCGCAGATAAGGTAACGCACGAACGATGATTTCAAGAATGAAAGATTCTTGCAGAAATGTTTTGCACGGAAGGCCGTTTGGTCGTCAAAGTGGTTCTTTTAATCTTTAGGTAGACCTTTTGACAACTAAAAAATGATCCAAGTGGCCATAGTTAGGCTTTGAGCACTTTTCAGTGCTGCATGTTTTAAAAGGCTTCCGGTTCTTAAGGGCTATTGTGACGCACAAAGCTAATTAATTGCCTAATGTATTGATTGCATTTCAATTAACGCGAGCAAATGAATCGAAGTCTGCGCGCGTACCAGCGAAGAAAGCTTACCGAAATCTGAGTTATGGCGAGAAGGACGCGTTTGCAGGACCCATCCACCAACCAGGCAAGATTTAATATTCTGAACCCGGAGGGTGCGTTCTCCTCTTTCGAACCCCAACCCGGCTCCCTGCAACAACATTGCCGCACATTCATTTTACAAGCTGTGGGTTTGAAACGACTAGCGCGCATCGCAGACCTTCCGATTCCAAAACCAATGATCAACTTTCTATCCAATCAGCTCTCTGTGGACGATTTCTATGTAAACCGAAATAACTTGAGCTCAGAGAACATATTGAACTGTGTTTATCCTGCCAAGTGTCTTCTGGACATGTCAGAGGTGCTGCTAAAGTGTGTCATGCCTTGCTTAGCTGATGAGTTTAAAGCCGCCATGGAAGCTTGGAAAGATATCAACCATCCAAATATCATGCGTAGTTTCCTGCAATTTCACCAAGGCAGTACGGAAATAATTGTATTTGAGTACCCTCCAGTTGCGCTTGAGGATGTTATCAGGGAGCGACGAGAACTAAGGAGACACTTGCCCGAGTACTTGATATGGAAAGCGTTTTGCGAACTGTGCTCTGCCATGAAGTATCTGAATGAAAAAGGCATTTTTTATCAGACTTCTAAAGGGACAAAGCGTATTTCCTTCGACGAACACGGGAACCTCAAACTAGACAGTGGTTTGCTGTACCAATCATCCCAGCAGGATACGATGAATGACCCTGACATCAGGGTTGATGGAGCGGGATTCTATTCCCCACCGGAGGTCATGAAAGGACAGGCTTTTGGCCCTGAAGGCCAAGTATGGCTTCTTGGATGTTTGCTGTACGAGCTCACGGCACTTGAACCCGCCTATCAAGTTGAAGGTACCGACATGTTTACTCCTCTGGCAAACATGATGGAGGGCAGACCGCCCCCAGATATCAATGAAAATTTCTCCGACGAACTTAAAGCCACAATTCGTGATTGCGTCAAGGGCGACCCCGACCAGAGACCAAGCATGGAGGAGCTTTTGAACAGGGTTACTTTGACAAAAGAAAGAATGAGGGAAGGCTATCAGGGACCTGAAATTGTCGACCTCTAATGCAGGAATACAACACTTCTGCCGCGTTCATGGGATAGGAGAATTTAACAGCTCTTTCTTTAGTCGGAGACACATTCAAAAAATGACTTCATGCGTCGACAAAACTACCGGATCTTAAGTAACATATCAAACTCTGGCATCGAATGAAAATTACAAAGGATTTAACATAAGGTTGAAGTTAGGATACACTTCTGCTTTCTTAAGTCACTTTATAATCTTATTGTGCACTAAACGGGGAGCTAAGGAAACAATAAAGTTCTTATCCTTTTTGTTATGTCCGACTAACCATTTTGTACAAATCAGTTTTAAAAATTGACTGGTTAGATAAACTAAGGCTTTTTTTTTTTCATTGTCAAATATTTTTCCCTCCTTTTCATCATCAAAAAAGTTACAAAGGTTTCTTTGTCGAAAGGTGTCTTAAAAGGTGCAAGGCATTGTAACTTGAAACGAAAATGTTCCTTTCTGAGTACAAACACCGATAAAGCTTTGCTTTTTTCGCTAATGTACACTCCTGCCGAAAAGGGAAGATAATACAAGACAATAAAACCGCCTGAATAAACTCTGCCACTTTGTGTTCTTTTAAGCCTCCTGCCCGGCGTCAAATTCTGAATATAGAGACAATTTAAAAAATTGTCAATTGAATTAGCAATCAAATTTTACTTCAATTCTTAGCTAAAAGATAAACACCATACGATGCTTTGTTTTAATAACATATTCACGACTTGGCTCACAAAGCTCTTTGATCTTAATCTTAAACGGAAGAGGGTTGCCAAAGCCGTTGACGTAATTGCTTTTTCATTCCCCATAAATCAATGCTTGCCTCATTTAAAAAAAGAGCAAAGATGGTAAAGACCTTGGTAAGACTGGCGCAGCGTGACCGCCACAAAAAGAAATATGCCACGAGCAAGCCGTCATTATTAGCGGGAAGATTTCAGACGAGTCGAGAAGAGGTTTGTCGGGAGTCTGGCACTACTCATGGGACCCCATGCAGATCTCTCGCTGTGTCGCGTTGCCCAAGGCCTCATAATTTCTCGCAGGCGAAAAAACTTTGGTGCCGTAACACTACTAACAAAGGCCTGCTTTAAGGCTCGATCATTCAGTATCATATAGCCCCAAGACTTTGGCAAGATTCAACTAACTTTATTTCCTTCTCTACTTTCCCTCAACTGTAGCTTATTGATGGTGTTAAGAGAACGTGTATTTTCCGATACACCATCATGATACTGATACAGCAGAGAACAAAACATCTAAATCAGCGAACTTTTCAACTCTACTTTTTAGTTGTTGCGGCTTAGTGTTTTTAAGGTCCATGGCCGCGAATTTAGCTGTGATGAGTGGATTGACCTTCCTGTACAACCCAGCGTCCGATACCACCACCGCCACCTTGAAGATCAATTGATTAGATGTTAGTAATTTTAGCCTCCCACATGCTAGGACGATCACATTGATCGCCGCATAATCATCACTGGGAAGAACCCCAAAGATCGTGGTCTCATGGTTTCTTAGCCCTTTACCTCTTAAGAAAGTTTGGCATCTAATTTCTAGTAACAGTATCAGTATTGATTCAAATGTTATATTAACAATATATAAGTTAAATATTAATTGTAAGGTCATGCGAATAAAGGAAATGATCGCCAACTAGAGAAGCTCTTGATAGGTGAACAATTCTCCTTGTCTAGAAAATGTATAGAGAACAGTATGGAGAATATGCATACCCATGTTAATGATTGCGAGGAAAAGCGAAGTTGTAATACAGTGGAACCTCAATTTAACGAAGTGCTAAGGGACTGGGTAAATTGGGTCGTTATTTTGAGGTTCTGTGGCATACATTTTACTGAAGTATCGTTCGTTATACCGAGGACTTCGTTAAATCAAGGTTCCACTGTAAATCCGAAAAACAAACCGAGCTGCAATCATATCTGAAAAAAATTTTTGTTACACGGTCAAAATATTTTTCGCCTATTTTAGATACACTTCCACTCATTTCAAATGTATCTGAAATTGTTTGCCACATTCTTTTTCATCGTTCTGTTCCTGATTGTGTACTCAGCAGCACTGGCCGGTTCTAAATCCTGTTCAAAAACTTAAAATCCCTGTTAAAACACATGTTTTAATGTTTCTGTCATCTTGAAGAACCTGACCTCTAATTTTCTTGAAAGCCCTCATCTTTCTGATCCTACGGGTTGCGACCCCTAATCCCGCGGTTGAGATCTCTTCCGTACGTCTTTGTATCTTTGATCCCTGAACCATTTGTTTTAAGTCAACGCTCTTTATCAGAGCGTCTGAAATGATCAGAAGCTTGGGTGATCTGATACTTAATTGAGCTTCACTGAGAAGCTCTTACGGCACAGTTTACATGACACATTGTCTACTCACCACCGCCAGTTCCAAAAGCACATTTCACCGGAGCCCCTCCAGATACAGAAATTTTACTCTTCGGATCTCCGATGAGTTCCTTGGTAAAGATGACAACACTACCACCAGCACCACTTCCTCCAGGGGCTGATCTGTGAGCTTTCTGATTGAGGCATTGTCCAGAGTTTCCTGCGTAAAGTGGTATTATAGTATTAGCTCTATAAAACAGCCAAAACGCAACGTTTGCAACGTCAAACAATTAATCACTTTTTCTAATGGCCTTCGCTGCTTCTGTAACCTTTTACATTTGCGGCTCGTAAGGTGTCGTTTCCTTGACTAATAGACTTTATCATCTTGTTTTGTTTTTGGTTTTTTGTTTTTTACTAATTTAGGTCTGGAAAGGATATCGCCTCTTACCATTTGGATCTGAAATAAGGTTTTGTTTTAAACATAATCGAGAATCGTGCTCTTGCATCAACATTTCTCATTTCTCATTTCTCGTTTCTCTCAGAAGAAGGATTTGATTGGTTGTTAATTCTCCCCTTTATCTGTTACACATTTCCATGTAAATTAGTTGTAAGTATTTGGTTTTAAATGAAAAACAAAACTAACAAAAAAAACAAGCTTTAGTATTCTCATTTCCTGTTTGCTGAATAATATATGGATATCATAGGGAGAAGATACACGTTAATCATCTTTGGGAGGTAAAGAGGTGAAACGTCCAGGAACTAGCTCAAGTCTGATAAGGTTTCGTAGGGAATTGAGTTGGAAAGGGAGGGGTGGGTTGCATGCTCTACTGGACCATACCTTTTGCACTGATGGTCCCGTGTAGTTCCAGTTTCCCAAGCTGTAGGTACACCAGTCCTCCTCCACTGCCGCCTTTCCCTCCAGTGTTGGGGTCATCGCTGAAGGCACTTGCTCCTCCCCCTCCACCTCCCCCTCCGTAACTCAGGTGAGTCGTGAAGTTGGAATTGCCAAATTGGAGTCCACCTGAATTTGAACAAAAACAGAACGGTCCTCGTAAAAAACGGAAGTGTTATTACTGCTCCAAAATCGGGAGCGTTTGTGTATGTGTTATCAATTCATTTATTTATCTATTCAGAGAGCAAATTTCTCCGGAATATTCGAGTTTGCGGTGAGAGATTTAAGTACAAGAAAGATCTTAGACGTAGACGTAAACATACAAGACCGTAAGTAGTCCACTATGGCAACTAGCCTTTTGGTGTTCGATATGGAAATCGCGTCAAAAATCATATAGGTGTTGTCTCCACCGCTTAACTACAAGATCGACTGCATTTGAGAATTTAAACCTTCCAATGAGCTGACGATTCGGCTATGGGTTATGAAAGCTATGCGATTTCTGGAGAATACCTCTCCTTTTTACAGGCCAAGTTAAATCGAAATCGCAACGGTTTGCTTTACCTCGCTCTTTCAATGGCCAACAAAACTCGCGCCATTCTCTCAGTCAATCAGATGCGATCAATCGCTGTTAATACTTTTGCTTTTGTTTAACAACGCTCAATCGAAAGTGCTGGAGCCCAAATCCCGTATCATATCTGACCTTAAATTCTACATCAAACCAAAAGAGCTGACTGCTGGGTCTTTGCTTAAATCGCGTTGGGAAAAAAAAAAAAAAAAAACCGGCATAAAATGTATACTGACCGCCTCCACCGCCTCCACCGTAATGATTGCCACACGAATCACCTTTAATTTGAATTAAACAAACAAATATTATATATCAGATTGCAAACGGTAATGTGATTGAGGCCTGTAAATGAAATCATTTTCAAGTGAACTGTCGTTCCTATGTACTTGAGGGCTTTTCAGCCTGGTGGACTCCACAGTGTGCACTACATGACAAAATCATTACCTCCTCCACCTCCAGAGCTAGATGAGCCTGCATTACCACCTGATGCTGACTTGTCGTAGCAGTGGGGAGCTTGATTAGGAGGCCATTTCCCTACGCTCCCTCCGTTGCCGCCATTTCCTCCTGGGCAGGACGACTGACCCCCACCCCCAGCGTGAGTACCGATCTACAAGAAAATGGTGGAAGAGAGCCTTTGATAAACTCTTCCCTGCCTTCTTGGATAGAGAACTTAGTTTCAAATTCCTTGTGAAAATTAGACACACCCTGTAGCTAGAAGAAGGTTGAAATAACAAGACGCATATCTACGTCTTCTCAGACGGTCGTAGTGGTAACCTAAGCTCTGTCTTCACACGGTTTTCACTCCAACACAAATGAAAATTAATGACTTACGTTTCCAGCTGACCCTCCCTTTCCTCCATCGCGACCACCACATCCACTGCCTCCACCCCCTCCTCCGCCACCAGAGAAGTGTCCACCCCCACCCCCACCGGCTGCACCGTCGTCACTGTTGACAGTTGAGTCTCCTCCTCCGCCGCCGGCATTGGTTCCCCCGGAACCTCCTTTGGAACCTACATGTCGACCGAAAACTTTTTGTTACAATATTAAATACTCATCATCATTATTATTGCTTTTTCTCAATCACAAGCACTCCATTTGAAAAACAAATCACGGGACCAGTTCTTAAAAGTCCAGAGGTCCTCACTGGCCTAATGCCATGTTTAGAAATCTAAATAAGAAATGACGTTCCACTCATCATGTGAACTTAGTAATATGACCTTTTTTGCCAACAAATTAAAGGTGATTCTCGGTCAGCTGAGCTTCCGAGACCAAAAACGGAAAGTCTACATACACCGTTAAATTATGATGCCACCGGACAACTTGAATTTTATTATTTTTCAAAACACTACGAGGGTGAAAAAAAACTAATATCCCCTGTTGTTCATTGAATAGAACGTTTTCTATACAAAATATCCAAATCTGATTGCACGATTCCATTTAAGTTGATTTGTCATGTAACTAGTTCTCCATCCACAGCTATTCAGCTTTACCTCTGGAGATTTGACACATCTACTTTCTATTTCGTTGTTTGCGTGCCCCATGATTCAATCGACCTTCCTGCCTGTTAAATCCAATATTAACCAACACAACGAAATTTAATGACTGTAAAATCCTTCTATATCGATTCGAAAACGTTCTTCTGAAAACCTATTTCTACCCGAAAAGCCACACGGGATAAAGCAACCGCCAGGCAGTTCCCGGATGGTCACAACAATCTTCCCTTCCCGAATAGCAGAGGGATCTGAAATTCGAACAAGTCATAACTAAAACTGTCCGGGTTCTAAAAATGTCCTTAACTCAAATAAAACGATCCATTAAATTCGGTTATCTTTACTGAATCTCCAGCGGAGAGATTCTAGTGATCGGTCGCTTTAGGACCTTGTCCTTTACTCGCACATCTACGACTCGCACAAGTCCGTCTGGTCCAGGATACATTTGCTCGATTCGTCCCACTTTCCAGTCTCTTCTTGTAGCATTAGGGTCAATAACAACAACATCTCCGACTTGAATGTTTTCCACAGGGAAGAACCATTTTGGTCTCGATCCAATATGCGGTAAATACTCTCGCATCCACCGCTGCCAAACGTGTCTCGTAAGCTCTTGGACTCTTCGCCAACGCTTCCTTAGGTTGAAAGGTGTGCTGTCTACACTCTCGGGTACAAAATCGCCTCCCATCTGTCCGATCAGAAAGTGGTTTTGAGTCAACACTAAGTTGTCATTTGGGTCATCACTCACAGTTGTGAGAGGTCTCGAGTTGAGTAGGCTTTCTACTCCAACGAAAATCGTCTCCAGCTCCTCGTCACTTACTTCTGGATCACTGAGTACCGCAGCTATCGTATGTTTAGCTGACTTTATCATTGACTCAAAGACTCCGCCAAAATGCGGCCCATCAGGCGGATTCCATTTCCATGTTACTCCTTTGTTGGAAGTCATGCGTTGCACCTTGTCTTGGTCAATTGCTGTGACTAAGTCCTTGAATTAATTTGACGCTCCTACAAAGTTTGTTCCATTATCGCTCAACATCTGCTGAGGCCATCCCTTTCTCCCAGTCATCCGTACAGCCGCGTTAAGAAATGCATCAGTATCCAAGGACGACGCCAACTCTAGATGGCAGCGATGGGTCTGTAGACAGAGGAATAAACACAATATCGCTTTGCTCGTACTCTACCACGTCCTTGCTTGGTGAAGTAGGGTCCACCAAAATCAACTTCACAATTTATAAATGGCCTGGATGTTTGCTGTAGTCTGATTCTTGGTAAAGGTGCCATTTGCTGACAGGCTGGCCTTGATCGAAATCGCCTTGCACACTCCCGACACTCTTTCACGACCCTTTTAATTTGTTCGCGTGCATGGACCACGAAAAACTTCTCCAGCAGGTGATTGGGGGTATAGTTAAGTCCCATCCGATGACCTTCTGATTCATGATAGTACTTAGCAATCAGTCCGGTGACTTGATTTCCTTTGGCAAAATGATTGGACATTTCACTTCATAGAGAAGATCATCTGCATTTTGTAATCTTGTTTTCGATCTCAAAATTCCATTAAGCAATACTGGATTCAGTGGTGCCAGTGTACTTTGTCTTGGGATCTGCTTGATTTTTCTCAGCGCCTCCATTTCTGCTCCATACGTCTTAGTCTGCACTTCCCTGACAATGGCTTCTTCAGCATCGGAAAGTTCGAATGGCGTAAGCTCGCCCTTCAATCTCTGATCGGCTGGTCTCCTACAGTTTGCATTAAATCGGTGTACCCAGGCTCTCACTCTTACTAGAGACAAGCCAAATTCCAGGTCTCCTTTCCTTTTTACCCGAAACCATTTTGAATACCTCGAGGGGTTTAACCGCCAAACACCTTCCTCACTAGCAATTTCACTGTCAATATTCTCTCCACCTTCCTTGATAGTTGCATAGCTACAAGTCTCCTTCGCTGAAATTTCCTTTCCTCTTTTTAACTCAAGACCCTCTTCAGAGGTTGGTGGATCGAATTTGCACTCTGGCCACTCTTCTTCTGCCCTCTTCAAGAACTCAGGCCCATTCCACCACTGACCTGTGCTTGCTAAATCTTCAACTGCCAGGCCCCTTGTCCCATAGTCAGCGGGGTTTGCGTTGGTTGGTACATAGCGCCACTGACTAGGGGCTGAACACTCGTGGATCTCCCCCACACGATGAGCTATGAATGGCTTGTACTCTCTGCTTTGACCTCGGATCCAATATCCCACATTCATACTGTCCACCCAGTACGTCACCTCGTCTGTGGAGATCTTGAGGGCAGAGCAAATTTGCATTGTTAGTCGTGTACCAATCAACGCACCTAGTAGCTCCAGTCTGGGGATACTAACAGCTTTCAAAGGCGCAAGCCGGAACTTAGATGCAATCAATCGAACAGTAACATCATCATTTTCATAGACATGACGTGCGTAGACTGCAGCTGCATATGCGCTCTCGGAGGCATCTGTGAATGTGTGGATACTCAACTCCACCACCTTAGCCACGGGGTCTTTCAAACATCTTGGGATTTTCACTAGTTTAAGGTCACTCAACTCTCGAAACCACTTAATCCACTCTTGCTGATGGTGTTTCGGCAACAAATCATCCCATGCCCCTGCTTCTAGCCATGCTTTCTGCATCAACAACTTCGATCTGATTATGTAAGGCGACAAGAAACCTAGTGGGTCGTACAAGGTAGCTGTCTTTTTAAAGACATTTCTTTTGGTGAATTCAAATCCATCAAATTGCAAAGAGTGCCGGAAAAAGAACTTGTCCTCTGTTGTGCTCCACAGGACACCAAGGGTCTTGGTAGTCGGCAACTCTCTCTTCTCTAAATCGATCTCAGAAGCTCTGTCTTCTTCCTTTATGTCGGTAATCACACTAACGTCGTTCGATACTCACTTGCGGATGTAAAATCCAGCCTTGTCGCTTAATTCGGTCAGTTGCTTCCTCGTTTCTTTAGCCTCCTCTACAGTGGGTGTTGAAAGCATGAGGTCATCCATGTAGCAATGTTCCAAAACTGCTCTAGCTCCCAATGGGTACGTCTTCATGTTAAATTCTGCATGTTTTTGCCTAACGTAATGAACACAAAATGGGCAATAACAACCTCCGAAAATGAACCTCTGAAATTCAAACACCCTGGGTGAATCATCAGTCTAATTTCCTACAGAGAAACCTGTGCAGTGGCCTGTCAACTGGTTTGAGAATTAGTTGATGATACATTTGTGTCACGTCACCAACTAAAGCAAATGGCTCTTTCCTGAACTTCACTAAAATGTCCACAATGTCACTCTCTACAACTTAGGACCTGGTAACGATTCAGTGTTTAAACTCTTTCCGTCTTGCTGAGCCGAGCCATCGAATACGATCCGAACTTTGGTTGTGGACTTCTCTGGGCGAACCACTGGGAAGTGTGGAAGGAACCATTCTGTGGCTGGTTTTGGCTCCATCTCAGGAACTTCTCGGATGTATCCCTTCCTGATGTAGTCATCAATCGTTGATTGATACGCATGAGCGAGGCTCTTATCCTGCATCAACTTCTTTTCGTCTGAGCGAAGGCGCTTTTCAGCCATCTGT